CCCCATCTGCAGGACCCGCCCCTCCCCCCCAGCTTGGACGCAGCCACACACTCGCAGCGGGCGAGAGGATCGCGCCTCGCCTGCAGGTCACATCTGCAAAGCACGGGCCTGCCAGCTGCTGGCTGGGGGATTAGATGTGCAGTAGCCAGGAGGCACTGGGGGAGTCCCACTGTAGTAGAAAGAAATCTATATTCGCCCACCCTATCTATTTCTACCTGCTTTATTCATTTTTCAATTCTTCAAATGTTTATTAGGATTTTATAAGGGTCGAGGGTTTTTTCTATTTAACACTGTTTTATCTTTTTTTAAAAAAGTCTAAAAATCTAACACTTCTGAACCTTGCATTTTTGTGGGCGCTACCTCATTTGTCCATCCAAACAAGCCTAAAGATAGGCTCTACTTCATCTCTGGTTTACTGATGAGGAATGTGGCCGTGGGCCTTGCCCAGTCACAAGGCTTGCAGGTAAGCTGTGATTCCATCCAAACCAGGTTGTCAAACCCAGAGCCTGTCAGACTTCCACAGGGACAGAGGACAGGCTCCTGGCCCGTAACCTATTATACATTAAAACAGCAGGAAGGGACTTGGATGCAATCCCTCTGGCGACAAACTTACCTCCCTAGTCTCTGATCTGAAGCTTCCTTGCCTTTTTTATACATTCTATGAAAACAAATGAAGTGTTCATTTCACTACACAAAGTAAAGGAAGGAATAAAATGGTAAGAAAGATAGAAGCTGGGTATGGTACCATATGCCTGTTGTCCCAGCACTCTGGCAGAATCACAAGTTCAAGTCCAGACAGGGCAACTTAGTGACTTAGTGAGACACCATTTAAATAAAAAAAAAAAAAAAAAAAAAAAAAAAAAAAAAAAAAAAAAAGCTCAATGTGAAGGTCCCGGGTTTAATCCTCAATACTGTAAAAAGCAAATAAACAAACCACCCTGAGCCCTCTCCTTTCCCTCTGCTGCCTCTACACTGAACACAGGTTTCAGAGATGCTGTGACTGCTGTTGTGGCTTATCTATGGATCAGAGACTACAGTTTAAAAAACACTTCTAGCCAGGGGTGGTGGCACATGCCTATACTCCCAGCACTCAGGGGGCTGAGGCCAGCCTGGAGTACAGAGAGTTCAAGCCCTGCCTAAACTAAAAGTGAGACCCTATCTAAAAAGAAAAAACAACAAAAATTGTAGACAGTGCAAGAAGAGAATGTCAGACATGTTTAAGGTTGGTATCTCAGTTTGTTCAGTTTAAATATAACATGGTAGTTTAAAAACATTCCTTGAGTCCTTCTCCCTGCAGAAAGTGGAGCCTAATCCCCCTCTTGACTGTGGACTGTAGTGACTGACTCACTTCTAATGAACAGACTACAGTTGAGTGATAGCAACTGACTGCCAAGACTTGGTAACAAAAGACCCCATGGCCTCTTCTTTTTGTCTCTTAGGTTGCTTGCTCTAGAGAAGTCAGCTGTCACACGTGGTCACATGCTGAGAATACCTAAGAAGCCTTATGAAAATGTTCCCTTGTTGAGAAACTGATGCCTTTTGCCCAGAGCTGGAGAGGAACTGAGACTTCTTGCCTAAAGCCACACAAGTGAGCCATCCTAGAAGAGGTTAAGAAGCCAGCTAGGCCACTCAAATATCTCACTGACAGACTGTGACTATGCTCATTGCATTACGCTACTAAGTTGTAGGTAATTTATTATGTGGCAAAAAAATTGCTAAGAAAGATTTGGGTGACACACAGAGCATTACCATACAAACACCCAAAGTTATATTGCTTTGGAACTGATAATGGGGGGGAGCAGGGAGAATTTCCAGCAAGGTTAGTGAGATCCTCATTTTCCTTAAACATACTATTAGTCTGATAGTCTTGAAGGATACATCCACCAGTAGAGGCTTCAAGAGATGTGAGAAAAATGTTATTGAAAACTAGAGGTAAACGACTTCTTTGTCATACAATAGCAGAAAGCCTAGAGTAATGTAGAAAGAAAAAGAAACTAAGAAATTGGGTATTCTAGCCAGATTTCCAGGCAGTATGTTGAAGCTGTCACCTTGCTTATTCTTGCTGCTTGTAATAAATCTGAAAGAAGCTACAGCATAGACTATTAGAAAGGATTCAGGAGAGATGTGGCGCTCCCTACACATGAACAAGCTGGCCCACACCCCTGCCACCCATGCAAGAATGAGACCATCCACCAACTCTAAGCTAGCTCCATATTTTGCTTCCCCTTGGCACAAGGCAGCAGAGGTGCTGACTAACCAATCCACCTGATCATGGATGAGGACAATACCCAGGGAGAGAAGGCGAACCCAGCAGAAAGTCAGCAGAACCAGGGAGAAAGTATAGATCTGGCCAGGGACTTCAGGATCTCCAGCATTACCAGGCTAAAGTGATTGGGTGAGAGACCATTGTGGAGGGGGAGTGGGCCAGATACAGACCACCCTAAGAAGTGTAAGCTCCCTCAGGGAAAGACACAGGCTCTGCTCCAAGAAGGGAGAGACCAGATCCCCACTCTGTGGCCTAAATTCAGCAGAGACTACAGAGCAGACACCTCTCAACAACCAATGGGAGCAAGGATGTGCCATGCCTTGGATGCTAACCATGGTCTGGGGTGAACAGAACCAAAAATGAGAATGATAGACCAAGCTTTTTAGTGCATATAGATGCAAAAGTCCTCAGCAAGATACTGGTAGCAGAATGCAATGAATCATCAAAAAGATGACACATCATGACCAACTAGGCTTCATTCCTGGGATGCAAGGAAGGTTCAACATACATATATCAATAAATGTAATACAGCACATAAACAAGAGCCAGGACAAAAATCACATGATCATCTCAAGAGATGTAGCAAAACCCTTTAACAAGCTGGGCACAGTGGTGCACATCTGTAGTTCCAACACTGAGGCAAGAAAATCCACTGAATTCAAGGCCAGTCTACATACCTGCTGAGTTTGAGCTCCAGACAAAAAACAAAAACAAAAAACAAAAAAAAAACTATAACAAACATAAAAAGCCATTGACAAAATCCAACACCCTTTCATGATTAAAAAAAAAAAAAAAAAAAAAAAACAAAAAAAAAAAAAAAAAGAAGAAAATAAAAAGACCTTCCTTACCTCAATCTAACAAAAGCCACTTATGACAAACCTACTGCCAACATCATATTGAATAGGGGAAAACTGAAAACTTTCCATTTACAATCAGGCACAAAAAAGACAAAGATGTCATTATCACCACTCCTGTTCACAGTACTCAAAACATTAGCAAGAGCAATTAGAAAAAAAAAAAAGAAATAAAAAGGGTATGTATAGGAAATGAAGAAGTCAAATTATTTGCCAATGGCATAATCCTTTACATAAAGGACACCCAAAAATTCCACCAAAAGTCTCCTAGAATAAATTCAGTAATGTAGCAGGATACAAAATAAACACACAAAAATCAATAGTGTTTCTCCACTACTACTGAGAAAGAAATTGGGGAAACAATAGCATTCCCAACAGCACCAAGAAAAATGAAATTATTAGGAATTATCCTAAAAAACTGAAAGACTTCAACAAAAAGTACAGTACTCTGAAAAAAGAAATCAAAGGGGACAACAGAAAATAGAAGATTTCCCCTGTTCTTGGTAGTCAGAACCAATATAGTCAAACTATCCATACTTCCAAGGGCTGGGGATTTAGCTCAGTGGTATCAATGCCTGCCTTACAGGCCCAAGATCCTGAGTTCGATCCTCCCTACAAAAAAAAAAAAAAAAAAAAAAAAAAAAGCCATACTTCCAAAATCGATTTATACATTTCACATAATCCCAATCAAAATACCAACAACATTCTTCAGAGAACTGGAGAAAACGATCTTAAAATAAGATAACAAGAGCAAAGTGGGAGGCTTCAGAATCCAAGGCTTCCTGTTATATTATATTGGGTCCTTGGCCTCTGCCCTGATCTGCTGCAAGGCAATACAATGAAAGGCAAAAGAAAGACACAGAAACAAGACTTGGGGCGGGGGATTTAGCTCAGGCTGCCTTGCAAGCACAAGGACCCAAGTTCGATCCCTGGTTAAAAAAAAAGATTTGAACAGATAGGGAACTGGGATGGGCCACACAGAACATGTGGCAATGTGGCCAAGTATGTAGTGAACATCACAAGCAACCAGGTCCACCGGTATTTACTGATTATACAGATGTAGGTAAGAAGAGAGAAGAGGGACTCACGTGGCATCCAGTGATACCAGCTGACACAGGCAAGGCTTCTAGAAAGCAGGATCTGAGACATACTTGAGGAACTGACCAAAGATCAACTTTGGTTAACTAGTAAGTTACTGAAAACAAGGGATGGGCAGCTCTGGGAAAGGAATGCAGATGATGCTATGTGGTTTGGTCCTTAGCTGCAAGTGTTATCTCACTAGGAGCCCTGAAGTTCTACAGATCAAGACTTGGATCTCCATGGCAGCCATTGGTGCAGAAGTTATACGAGCCCATGGCACCATTCAACACACTTCTGTGAGTCATGTAGGCTTCAGTTCATTATAGCCAATTATGAGGGGACAGTGCCTGCTCCATATTACAGCCTGCTCTGACTTTAGTCATGGTAGTTTGCCACAATATTACAAAGCTACACTGATAAAAACAGCATGGTACTGGCACA